TTTCCAACCCAGCTGATTCTATGATTCCCTGTCATCCTGTTGGACCAGCTTGGCCATCCATTGGGAATTACACCTTGTGCTCGTCTGTGTGGCCCGGAATTCCAAAACAGACCTGGAATTAGGGGAGATCCAGAGGTTCCATCCGTTTGGGATGGAATTCCCGCCTCACCCGGTGTTTTGTGTCGTCCGCCAGGTTTGTTTCCGTCCTTCGACTCCGACGTGGGTTTGGGACCCCCAAATCCAAGGAAAGCGGAGACGAGCGAGAGCGGCGAGGAGGGCGAAGGTGGGAATTCCCCCCTGGAAGTGAACTCCATGGTCCAGATCGCCTTGGACAAGGGGAGCCAAGTGTCGGGAATCATCCGCTGGTTGGGATTCCTGCCCCAGATCAAGGAGAAAATGGCTGGAGTGGAACTGGTGAGGGGCAGGTTTGGAATCTCCGGGTACATCCAGGGGCTGGGAGCGTTTCCCGGGAAGGGAACGGAGCCAGGAAGGGTTTGGAGCAGCTGGGGGGGCTCATCCTGGAGAAATGGGAGATCGGGGGGATCCAAGGGGACAGGAAGGTGGAACTGGGTGGGATCGGGATCACTACCGGGGGACAAGGGACAGGACGAGAGGGAACGGCCTCAAGTTGCACCAGGGGAGGTTTAGGCGGGATATTGGGAAAATTCCTTCCTGGAAAGGGCTGTAAAGCACTGGAAGGGGCTACCCCGGGCAGGGGTGGGATCCCCATTCCTGGAGGGATTTCCCATCCCTGTGGATGTGGCCCTTTGGGGGGGACACGGTTTAGTGGTGGGGGGGGTTCTCAGAGCCTCAGAGCTCTTTTCCAACTCCGTGATCCCATAAATCCTGCCATTCCCGGATGTCTTCTCCAGGATGAAGACAAGGGAGTCACCGGGGGCGAGTGGTTGGGCAAGTCCTACTTCCACTGCGCCCCAAAACGCGGCCTCTTCGTGAGGCTCAACTCCTGCCAGCCCGACCAGCGCTTCCAGAGCCTTCCCGACGCCCGTCCATCCCTCCTGGAATACGGTGAGTCCTCCGGGAAGCGGGAAAACCGGGAAGACTCCCCGTGGAGAAGGGAGGTCCTTCACCTGCTTTGAGTGTTGGGTTCTGGTGGCATCCGTGCCCCACCACACCCCTGGCACTGCTGGCTTCAGGGGGGGACTCCAAAGGTCTCAGAGGTCTTTCCCAACCTAAAAAAATTCCGTAGGGAACATCCCTACCGGCGCGAGAGGTCCTAAGTGATTTGGGAAACCAGGAAAACCCGGATTGAGCAGCCACCTTGGAGTCTTAGGCTCAGCTTAAGACTCTTGGGGGGGGAATCAGGGAAGGGCTGAGCTGCTCCTGAGGATCTGGGGACTCCAAGGGATTTGTTTTCCTTGCAGGAGAACGGGAAGTTCTTCCCCAGGCTCCTCCGGAGAGTTTTCCTCCCCTCCGGAACGAGGCGGCCGTGCGCGTCCTGCGGGGCCGGATGAAGGGCATCCAAGGCCACTGCAATTCCTGCTACATGGATGCAGCTCTCTTCAGGTGAGGAAATGGCTTCCCTGAGCAGGGTTTTAATCCCTAAATCGCAGCACTTCCCTGGATTTCCGCGTCGGCTGGAAGCTCACCGAGCGCGGAGCGGGATAAAACCACGGAGACGGAGCCCTGAGGCTGCTTTTCCAGCTCATTCCCAACCCTGGAAGGCTTTCCAGCCCTGAGGAACCCCCCTCCCCGTTCCCGTGTGTCTTGTCCTCCAGGGTGCTGAGAGCTCCCAGTTTTCCGGACTCGGACCACGCTGGCTCTGTCCCTGGAAGTTGTGGCTGGAATCACTTCCCAAGAACCCACCCGGCAGGTCCCAGCTGGGCTGTTTGGAGAGGAAAAGACTCCCTGGGGCCTTTCCCTGAGTTTTGGCTGCCAAGTAGGAATTCCCTTCTCCCTGAGCTCTTCCCTTGCTTTCTCCCAGTGTCCATTGATCCAGCTGTGCTGTCCCTCACCTCCCTGTCATTCCATGCATGGAATTTTGAGCATCCCAGCCATCGACTGTCACCATCCACCTGCATTTTGGGTTCCGACCGTTGCTCCCAATCCATCGGGATTAAACCCATCCCACTCTTTCCACAGCCTCTTCTCCTGCACGTCCGTGCTGGACTCCATGCTCTTCATGCCCTTCCCACTGAGTGACAGGAATGTGCAGGGAATTCTGCGGGATGAGATCGTGAATCCCCTCCGGAGGTGAGTCTCTGGGAATGCCGGGAGTTTTCCGGCTGCCTTCGTTCCTTCTCTGCTGGCCCTGGAAGTGGGAGCTGGCACCGAGGGAAAGGGATTTTCCTGCCAGCCACATCCCACAGGAGAACAGGGAATGGTTTCCCACTGCCAGAGAGTAGGTTTAGGTGGGATATTGGGAAGAAATTCCTCCCTGGGAGGATGGGGAGGGGCTGGGATGGAATTCCCAGGGAAGCTGTGGCTGCCCCATCCCT